ACAAACTGAAACACAGTTGGAATTCTGTAATACAACACTGTCTAAAATGCACTTAAGTATGAGGCAAATTAATAGAGAAAAATGGATCTCTTTATGAATTCTGTACACATACACCAATAGGGCAAAGATGCTTCAAAGCTGGTCATAAACATAAAAATAACTTGCACCAAAAGTTGAAGACAAACAAACAGGAAAGAAGGACTTAGTTACATCCTCAAAAGTGATAATACACAACACAAATTCTGAGGACTACTGCAAGCACAAATCAATCACAAAATCCTGTAAAATATTAAGCTTTAAACACAGCACACACCAATATATATTAACACCTTAAAGTGCACCAAAGGTGTTTAATAAGTTTAAAATGTATTCTGCAGAAATGTAAATACAAGTGTGGGACTTAAATTAAACCAGAACTTTGACATATCAGAGGGGTTTACTTTGTTTTAAAGTCTACAAAAGAGTCTAGTGAGGTAAACATTTAGGATGTTTCAAAATGTAAGAGAAAGCATTTACTGGAAACTTATCTTTTTTTTTTCCCCTAATAATTTTATTTTGTTGATACTGCAAAGCATTGGCAGCATGTCTTGTCTTTTGCATACCTGATACTGCTTAAACATCTTATATGGTACTTCATACTACATTCTCCCCCTATTTACATTATCAGTGATGCTCTATCTTCAGATAAACTGATCTTCAAAAGAAGAAAGCTGCCTCAAAGTTATTTGGTCATTACCTTATTCAAGTTACTTAATTCCTTATGCTTTTTCATCACAAAGTTGATTATGTCGCAAACAATCTGCATTTTTCGTTCTGCAAAGCCAAACTGAAGAAACTGCTGTTTTGTTAAGATTGGTTTATACTGAAATAGATCCCGAAGAAGCTGCAACAATTAAAAAAAAAAAAAAAAGTTTACTTTGTTTTCAAGATCATCATGTATCTGTCATAGCAACAGCATACTCTTTCTTACTTCCTCTACAATCTTCTCTTTCATTTACACTTTACCAAATGAATAAAGAATTAACTGCTAAGTGACATATTCTAGGGTGATTCTTCCAGTTAGGCCTTTCAACCTACCTTTTCTAGTTCACATACCCCTTTCATTCACATCACTCTTGCAGTTTATATCTCACGTCATCTTAAAAATGTATCAAATTACTGTAGATGATTCTTTTTTTGAATTCAAGTTAGCAAGAGTGAGTGTACAATAAACAGCTGCATTAATAAATCAAAGGGATAGCAAGCCTGCCACTCCAAGTTTCTCTGTAATGCACTCTCCATCTTCTTCAGATGGAGAATTGATCTGAGTAAATTGACATTAACACAACCAGTCTTCCTTTAATGCAGATGTAGAGTGTATTTACATATATTTTAAAGACAGCATGAAATTAGTTTCATTCAACTCAAAAAATAAACTGATGCTAATTATAAGCTGTTAATAAGTGGACTTTATATATTAATTTGTCAATGCATTTTAAAATAAGTATACTTTTTACTTGTTAGCACTTTTATTGATGTTTGTTATGATTTTTTGCTGGTCATAATTCCACTAGGGTCAATTCTGGCTATATAAATGTATTGTGGAATAAATATTTTGGCATTTGTCACATTTAACATAAAATGCAATTTTTCTCATTGTCTCAAAACTGAGATTTAGCTAACACTATCCACCTTTATTTCCAGGAAAATATAAGTCAAGAGATAGTTATGACTCACCTAAAATCTTAGCAGAACTTGCCAACATTTTTACTTGCTAATAAAACTCACACTAGATGTTTAACTGTTATGAGGCAATATTCAAAGTTGTCCCTCTTGTGCAAAAAGCACCAAGTCAGATACCTTATAAATAGCTTCAATAAAACGCAAGTCACTCTTTGCTGCGAGTTCTACATCACATTTCACCAAAAGTTCTGCTATGTACGTTGAGAAAGATGTAAAAGAATAGCTGATGATGGGTAAAAATACAGCTGGATCACCCTTTATTAACCTATTGAGAAACAGAAGTATTTTATACATAACAAAGAGACAAAAGTAAATCGCTTCAAACATCTAACCTCAGAAGTATATTAATATAGCCAGTATGATACTAACATCAAATGAGCTTGCACTTCAATTCAGGATTTTTCCAGCTATCTTGATCAACGGAATTTTCTAAGCACCTCTCACTCAGAAGTCCATAGGATCTCAAAACAATGTTTTTGTGAGCCCTCCAATTGCTCTAACCTTCTCAAGTCTAAAACTCAACAGGCTTTACTCTCTATACACCTAGTTTTCAATCTTTAATGGATGACATTTCTTCAAGGGGTTTTTTTTCTTCACCTCACAGATTTTACATGATACCAGAGAACCTCGAACACAAAGATGAGTTCAGTGACCAGTACTTCTCATCCACGAAAAGAAGGAAAACCATGAAGTGTCATATTAATGGCAAATTTAAAAGTGACACAGCAGAGTCAAAAGATAAGTTGAACTGATCATTCATCTAGAAAACATAACATTTAGATGCTGTGGCATAACTATCTACCTAATAAATACCCTAAATTCTCACAGTACCGTGACTTTGAGATAATTTTTATTCATTCATGGTATTAAGCTATTATCTAATGCAATGCAAGAAAATCAGTAATTTTTACTTCCTGAAGTATTCAAACAGTTTTGTTTACACAAAAATAGACAACATTTAGAGTACATATTTTATCCGTTTAAGCTATTCCTATGTCTTTCATTATTCAAACAAACATACATTTTTAATATCAGAGATATGGTCTCTGTATCAGCACACACTGTTACATATTTTCCTATCACCATATATTAGCATAAATTTATTCATGCTCCTTCTTACCCTGTATAATCCACATCTCTTGGATAATTTAACAAGCGAAGTCCTTGCTCTATTTTTCTTAAACTTCCTTTTAGGTCTCCTGTTGCCATCATTTCAAATGCTATTATTTTAGGTCACGAGGTAAGTGTAGTAGAGTACATTCTTCTCCCCTAAAGTAAACAAAAAAATTTCCATATACACGAAAACTTAAAAATGCAATAGAACGATCAACAGAACTGACTTTTTTTTTTTTTTTTTTTTTTCCTAAGACATTTCCAAAATCTTACAACACAGCACAGGCTAGAGCTCAATACTAATATCAGTGCAATAATAGAACTCATGCAATTTCGCTCAGTATCAAACACTAATCCTCAATCCTACCAACTATCCAAGACCTTCAAAGGTAATGAGATCTTTAGGGCTGACAAGAAATCTCCTTCGCTAAAATGAAGTTAAACAAGTTCCTCTGCTATTTCAAAGGAAAAGAAACCCAAAAGTAGTAAAATCTTTTATACTCTTTGGTCTAGAAAGCTTTCGACTCCAATCGATCCAAAGAACCAATCGATCGCTACCAACAGGAGGCTTGTTTCTATCATCCTGGCTGATTCCACAACTTTTAAAGATACTGTGACCTTCCAATGTTTTTGACAGCTTTTCCCCAGCAAATTTGAAATAGTTCAGGAAACCACCTTAGATCACTTAGTCCCAACTTTACTAGCCAAAAGGGCAATCTTTGAATACATAAACATCAGAAGATGTGCCTAGCAATTCACCATGGATAGTATCTCTAGATTTAAATGATCCATTAAACAACTGGTGGTGGTGGGTGGAGAGGCCACAGATTTCCTAGACATTTCTAGACAGGTATAAACTTGAGGTGTACTTGTTATCATAGCAGTAAACTTCTCTGTTGTATCACACAAGTTGAAGACCCACCTCTAATTTACTATGAGCTTTGCTTCACAGGAGGCATAGACTTATCTAATCACTCACCTCAGGGGTGCATTTTTCTCTGCAGAACTGTTCTGCAGGGAAGTTAAAGATTGTAACCAAGAAAAGGCGGCAAAGACACCATTCAGCAAAGCACAAGATCATATTCCACACAAGGTTTTAGCTTTTCCAAAAGGAGCTAGAAAGTGCAGGAGACTCCTACTATTAGTGATGCTTTTTTGTGAAACAACTAATCAATAAATTCTCTAGGAGAGGAGGAATAGAGAAGAAAACTAATTGCCATAAGAGATATAAAAACACTTGCTACTGTGCTTGCCTAGTAAATTGTAGAGTAGTAGTAGCTTCAAATCAAATAAAAGTATCAATACTAGTTATCTCAAATCCCAATCCCTCATTTCATTGCTTCAAAACACATACTCAGAGACACTCTAGGAATACTGTTTGCAGTATTCTAAGCATTTGGTCCAAAGTTATAAGCAACTATTATTGGTTCTTTTCCAACATCTGACATTAAAAGCACAGAGAGTCAAACTCTTGTAAATCCTAATTGAAAACAAGTGCTCTTTAAGTCAGTATTCAGACCTGAGAAAGTGTATAAATATATAATATATAGTTATAGTTATGTATCTGAAGAAGCAAAGCAAATAAACAAAAATTAGGTCCGAGCAACTGACAAGCAATCTGAAGATAGGAGATAAAGAATTATGCAAGCCTAATTATATAATTAGATTGCTGTCATTACTGAAAGCCTAAGTAAGCAACTGCACTAATATATTCATAACATACAGACAGCACTTGCAAAGTTTTGAACTCTGCCATTCTCAAGGGAGAGCAGTAATGTTTAAAACTATTAACAGAGTTAATGACTTTGAAAACAAATTAAACTAAAGAAAATAGGCTGAAGTTTAAGAACCTCTCCCTCCCCATTTCTAATTCTATTAATTTAGTTTTGAACACCACACAGAGCATAAGCCTGATCACGGATAACAGAACAGTACAAAAGATGAAGGTTCTTTGCAGCTTTAACAAAAAAAAAAAAATCCAGTACTCAAGCTCAGAGGGCTGATATTTCTCAGAAAGAGGGCTGATATTTCAGAAAAAAACAGTGCTTACGGATGCGTTCCTCACCTCCTCCAAACCTGGTAGCATCTAACTGACTTAACCAACTACCATAATTCCCAGAAACTTTGGAAAGACTCGTGATTTCTGCCATAAAACCTTGACACAGAAACTCACTGGCGGCTTTTCTGCCAGAGCCGGGGTCTGTCTTCCGCGTCCCTCGCCAGGGGCCGCGCGCTCGCGGCCTGCTCTTCCCGCCGCGCGGCCCGGGCCGTCGCTGCAGCCCAACGTTCAGCGCCGTCGCC